TAAACTCAGAGTGAATACTTAATTTGTTCCACTAATACAAATTTAAGGAACTCTAAAATGTTACTGTATTATAATCATACACACACACAGACATATAATCACATCTGTCTAAGTTCTACTTTACAGGACATCAGTTGAAAATATGCGTTTAGCTTTCTTGTGGAGACTTGCTGCAGAGATCTTCAAAATTAATTTTCCAAGTTTCCTTGAAAGCTGCTAAAATAGATCTTAAACACTGATTAAATAGTACAATTACAGCTTCAAATTAGTTTTAAAGTAATCAGGGGATGGGGTGCTGCAACGTTTTCCGGGATATTTTAGGCACCAAACAGCCTGCGTGTATGAAAGGATCACTAAATTGACACACCAGTTTAATTTGCATTTTGCGCAAAACTCCATCTTGATAATGAAGTTGAAGCTTGTGCTGGGAACATTTGCCTGAAAGATCATGATAGAGCTGACTGCCATTTAAACAGGCTGCTCCTAAGCATTAAGGCAGGTACATAGCATTTCAATGGCTAGCACTGGAACTAAAGTCATCTTCTAACATGGTCCAGTTAGCTACAGGATTAACAGAAAATTTAAAATGCTACTATAAATTATCTCACTCTTTGCTGATCATACGTGCTAGATGCTTGATGAGGACTTTTGAAATACATTGGGAGACTTTCAGAGATTTTATGTCAAGTGTTCACCAACATACCAGTGTATAATCTGCTAATTTTCTGAGGACTTCAGCAAAAAGAACAGGAAGACTGAGATAGTAGGAACTGCAGATGCTGGAGAATCTGAGATAACAAGGTGTAGAGCTGGATGAACACGGCAGGACAAGCAGCATCAGAGGAGCAGGAAAGCTGACGTTTCGGGCCTAGGGGCTAGGCCCAAAACGTCAGCTTTCCTGCTCCTCTGATGCTGCTTCACCTGCTGTGTTCATTCAGCTCTACACCTTGTTATCTAGGAAGACTGAGATACTCTACAGGAATCGCCAGGCAAAAGGGAATGCTTTGTCATTAACATATTGACAATGGGTCCCTTTGCTATTCAGGAAGGATGGGGGAAGGGCAGGAACTCCTTGTGGCCATGCAGACCAGCAATGCTATAGGATAGCGAGGCAGACTACTATTTCTCTCTTCTCACCCCCATTCATTATGGATAAAATATATCCCTCTTCCTCCGCTGCTCTTCCACCAGGATTCTACGGTCATTAGTATCCAGAATCAGACACCCATGCGGTCTCTCACTCAATCCCTGAATAATCATGAAATAAGCTGTTTTATATCAGCCAGTCAACTGCAAACTCAGTTACACATTCTGCTCCACAGAATGTGTGTCTAATTAGCATCTGATTCTTAACCTGTAGGTGCCTGATTCACCACTTCAGGAGAATTCAAGTTACGATCACTAATAATTAGAACTAAAATCAGACATTCAAAAAGGCAAATCTTATCAACGTAGTGGTCACTTAATTATTTGCACCCTTTCACCAAAATAACCGGGTGTTTAAAATTATTGATAGAATTGAATAGGTAGATAGAAAAATCACTTCCTCCAGTGGTAGAATCCAGAACAAAAGTAAAATTAGAGCAGTAATTTAGGAATGAAATTAGGAAGCACTTGCTCAAATACAGAATAGTGGAAATCTCAAACAAATCTGTGGATGCATGATGAATTAAATTTTCGAGATCATAATGTTGCATCAACAGATATGGATCAATGACAGTTAAGTAGAGTTATCATATAAATCTGTAATCAACTATTTAAATACCACTTAAGAGACCTACGGCGAAGTACGCTCAAATTGGCACGAAAATGGGAAAACTACACCAAACGATAGAGTGCTACCCGTGAACAACTCTACTTCCTACACAGATGCCTCAGGAACCAGGTATTACCACACAGTGTGAGATACAAACCCATCAACAACCCACAAGCTTGCAGAACAGCAAAACACAATGGCTGCAGGATGGTGAAGGTAATGATCAGCGACGCACACAACCAACTCCGTACTTATGACAGAGAAATTACGTGCCAAAAAACTTTTATTCCTAGACACTGCCAACCAGGACTGGACAACTGACCTAGAACGAGCC